TATATTAGGTTGTCCCATAAGTTTCTTCCCTTTTTTTGATGCGAAATGAATACACGATATTTGTTGTTTGAGGTTGATTTATTGTGTTATATATGAACCGTTCTGTTCTATAACCTTCTTCCATCTCTCAGGAAGCCTCATTATGCCCTCTTTCCAAAATTGTKKAGGCTTACTTGCAAAATATTCATCTGTGTGCGTTTTTATTTCGCTTATGGATTTGAAAGATTTACCACGGAGAGAATTTTTTAAGGAGAGGAACAAGTAATAATCGGAAGGAGCAAGGTCTGGGGAGTACGGAGGATGAGGTAGAACGTCCCAATCGAACTGTAATAATTTTTGTCTCACGACCATTGCAACATGCGGTCTTGCGTTGTCGTGATGGAAAACGACTCCTCGTCGGTTCGCCAGTTCTGGCCGTTTCTCTGCTATGGCGGCTTTCAGTTGATCAAGTTGATTACAATATTTGTCAGCATTGATCGTTTCACCTTGAGGAAGGAGCTCGTAGTACACTACACCTTTTCAGTCCCACCAAATGGATAAAAGAACCTTCTTCGGATGAAGTCCAGGCTTCGCAACAGTTGAAGGTCTATTTTCCTTGGACCAAGTGCGTTTTCGAGACACATTTTGAWACAAAATCCAAGTCTCGTCTCCAGTGACAAGACTCTTTAAGAAAGGATTTCTTTCATGTCGCTGAAGAAGCAAATCGCACGTAGAGACGCGGTTCATAAGGCCGGTCTCCGTCAATATGTGTGKARCCCAAACTTCATACCGATTTGCATATCCCATCTTGATCAAATGCTTATGTACCGTTGTCTTGGGAATGTTAGTGTCATCCACTATCTCGCGCACACTATATCGCGGATTTTCAGCGAGCACAGTCTTGATAAGGTCCGCATCCGTCGTTACTGGGCGGCCGCTGCGGTCTTCATCTTGCAAATCGAAATTGCCGGCTCTAAATTTCTTAAACCAATTGCGGACGGTCCTAATGGTCGTAGTACCACTCCCGTAAACGGTGCAAATCTCGTCTGCAGTGTCCTTTGCACTATTGCCTTTTTTAAAGCAATGAAGCATAACATGCCGTAAATGCTTCTTTTGGTTCTCCATATTGAACGGGGCTGAAAAAATTTTAAAAGAGACTTTGTCACCAACGAAACGTACTTTGAAAGAGCTCTGGGACGACTGAAACCGATGCCATAAACGGCTAAGAGATAAGCCTGCATGTTTATATAAACATAGCCAGTCAGACTCATTCATAGCGTGGCACGGAAGAAACTTATGGGACACCCTAATAGTTAGCGGTCGAGACCGCTTCGGCCCAAAAAGACGCCGGCAGTCCGGATTGTATGAGGAGGAACCTCGCCATCTCGATAAGAGTCCTATTTTTCCGTTCGGCGATGCCGTTCTGCTCTGGGTTGTACGCCATGGAGAGATGAACGTCGATGAACGTGATGTAATACCTGGCTCGACTGTTAAATTCCACTTGCATCGGTCCACATATGTCCGAGTGAATAACCTCCAACAGCTCGCGATCACCCTTCCGTTTTGCTGAGAAGACTGCTCTAGTCATTTTGCCTCGAATTCATACCTCGCAATCCAACGAAACCCCGCAATTCCCGAGATTCAACCCCCGTATCGCTTTGTTTCTTTCGGCCCTCTTTAGATTTTGTACGTTGAGGTGACCTAAGCGACGGTGCCACATCTCCAGTGCGTTTATTTGTCCTTTGCAGTCACTTCGTTCAGCTATTGCGTTGCATTCAGCCTTTTCCTGTTCGCGTACATAGTATAAATCGCCAATTCGATTCGCCCGCAACCTCACAGTACCGTCACGGTCGATTACCGAAGCGACATCTTTATCGAACCTAACCTCAAAACCCCTGTCCGTTATCTTGGCGACCGATAACAGATTAGTGCGAAGATCCGGAACGTGAAACACGTCACTTAACCTCACTTGTCTTTCTCCGTCGCGATCTTCACATACGAAGTCGACCGTTCCCCTAGCGAGAATTTCCGCCGACGCGTCGCTAGCCAACTTCAGTGTGCCACGCCTCTTGTCGCTCACTTCGGTGAAATTCTGCAGCTGTCCACACAAGTGGGATGTGGCGCCGCTATCGAGGCACCATGCTGCCGCGAGCAAAGCGTCCTTCGCGTGACCGCGAATAGGAAGAACTGTGTAGCTATATTGTCTCATTGTCTCGCCGGCTCAATCCTATATGTTTGTCTCTTTTTCTCCTATTATTTAGTATCGCCCATTCTAAAGAAGTTTTCACTTCAAAAATATTTAATGCAGATGTTATGTAACCACCGGTTTTATATCAGAAGACGGCGTTAACAACTTCAATTACTATTTTTTACAATCACTCAATAATTAGTTGTTCATAAGCAAATTAACTGAATTAATATTAGTAAATTTTTTTTACATTCGAAAAATACAAAATAATAATTTAAAAAAATATAAATTAAAAAAAAAGCCTATTCTGAAAAAATATTTTATTGATTATAAACGCCAGTAATCAACCAGGATTGGGCCATTACTAATAGCCAATGCTTGGCCGAACGCTGGCAGATGGACATCGGCCGATCTACGGCATTTTTTCCATCGACGGCGACTTCGTATAGGTTACCACTCATCACCGTTTTACCATTTTTAGCGATTACCAAGCCGTTCTCATCGAAGATGATACTCATCCCTTTCTCCTGCATTATCCTCACGGACAGTAAGTTGTATGGTACATCCGGGTAGTATAATACGTCTTCGAGGACTCCACTTAAACCCATGTTACTCGTCACGTGTATCTGCCCCTTCCTGGTGGCCGCGACGAATTCTCCATTCTTCGCTACTAAAACTTTAATGGGAGAATGTAATTCAACCACACTTGAGAACACGCTATCATCGTTCACAAAATGATCTGACGCACCAGAATCGAGGATGAAAACTTGTTTCCTTTTCCGGGTGACTTGATACTCCCCAGTCATAAAGGAAAATCCAGATATATGCTCATCTGTTGTCTTTCTTGTCGTCTGAGCAGCATGCACATTTTTATTCCTCTGCGTCATTTTGAATTGTTGGTTTTTCTTGTAATAGAAACAATCCTTCATTCTATGTCCTTTTTTTCCACACTGGTGACACTTCCCACCAAATGAATTTCTGTTCTGCTTAAAACCTGCCCCTTTCCGATTTTGACTTCTATGTCTGCCTCCTTCGAACTGTTACGCGGAAATGTTCGCGTGAAGTTAAATTCGCGTTGATTTCCGGATAACGTAAGAATTCGGCCTATTGAATTCTTGTAATTGTATTAAAAACAAGGATTTCCAAGTTTTGGAAAGAATAACTTTAATTTAAAACGGATTCACGTTCGGATACAAACAACTTACAAGCGTAACGGCCAGGATAGAAGAGAGTTTCGGATGTCGAGGGAGCCCCTTTTTAGGGAAATCGGAACAAGGAATGTTCTAGAAGAAGGGCGTTTTTTCATAAGTTAAGGGATTCTTATTGGTGTTCCCACGGTGCAGTGGGGGATTGCCTAAAATTCCAAATTTTATGTTCGGCGTAAAAAAATAGAAACGGAAGTTCCTTAAATTAGTATGCAGCGCAGGTGTATGTTTTATCTACTAGGCCTAGCAGGTTTAAACAGGTTTTCCAAGGGATCAAGAGAGTACACCCAAGCAGGTATAGTTCACGTTGGGCCTAACAGTAAGATGATCGGGTCAAATATAAATATTAGCGGCGGCGCCTTCTTAAAATTATAAATCTTTGGGGAATATTTGATATGTAATTACAGACTGATGCAATAATTTTGGTAGATTCAAGTACTACAACAAGTTTATTTATACAAAAATCAGTAATACAAAATTAATAATCTGCAATGGTGTGATATAATTCGAAGCATTCTGGTAGATGTAAAGGTACTATGCACTTCTTACACTCCCACGTTGTTTCTCTACGTTTTTTATTTTTTTTTGTAAACTCTTCAAGGTTTTGACGGTCTTAATTTTGATGCTGTTGAATCAATGTACTTTGGAAAATGAGCCCAATGCTTCACGTGCAGTCTCTCTGGCGCATCTCCGGAAGATAATTCGCCTCGTTCTCTATAATTTGGTTTTGGCATATTCTTCAGTAGAGATTCGGCTATGTTGATCCTATAGTCGTCGACGTAACATTGTTTCTTCCCGTTATTAATTTTTTTCCATAAAATGTAAGAGTTAAAAAGACCAGTATCGAACAGATAAAAAAAAATTTTTTATATCCTTTCATGTATATTTCCTCATTACTGGAAAACATGCTAATATTTGGTCTTGGAGATCAATTCCATTCATTCCCTTGTTGTACTTTGTAATACATAATCGTCCTAGACATATGTCCGTATACGACGTTGGTGAGAGTTCTTCACATCCTCCCACCTGGAGTTATCAACTCCACATACACGTTATTATACTAATTTACAGAGTGAAATAAAAATATAAATTACACAGAGATTACGCTTTATAGAAACAAGGTTTCTTACTGATTCGTCCACTTCGCGTTTTTACTATGTCTGTCGTATCGCATTCCGTCTTAGGTTTACACTCTTTTTCTCTTGCATTGGTAGGAGTAATTTTCTCATTCATTGTCACACTCTCGTTCTCTACATTCATACTATCGCTCTCGACTTCTAGCGGATAAATACGTTGTAACGGTCTTTTTAAATTCCCTTCTTTGGTTCGCAGAATCGCGACCCTCGCTGTACCGTCACGACCCATTATCAGCCTTTCGATTCTAGTTAAAGGTCACCCGATACGTTTTCGATTGTCGTCGCCTATCATGACGACATACCTGGTCTTAAGATACGAGATTCTTTTACGTCGCCTTTTAAAACTAGTTGACTAAGATATTCTTTTCGAAAGCGTTCCCATAAATGTTTTATAAGTTCTTGCTTATGTTGAATAGCTTTATCAAAATTAATTCTTCTACTAATATCTACATCTGGACATTCAGATTCTCTAAGATCTTGCAGAAACATGGCCGAGGTAAGGGGCCTTAAGTCATCCGACGAATCCGACACGTACGTCAAAGGACGCGAATTTATTGTGCGCTCGCAGTTAACTAACACAGTATATATATATTTGCTCGTATGTGAGGCACGCTTTTCCCAGAATTTTTCGCAGAATGACTTTTACCATACCTATTAGGTGCTCCCACCAACCTCCCCATGCTGCTGTCGGTGGATTAAAGATCCAATTTATTTGTTTCGCGGAGCTATTCTTAGCGATTGCATTCCAATTTAATTTTTCGAACATGTTATTAGCTCGAATAAAATTCGTGCCATTGTCACTATAAATGACCGATGGTCGATCGCGGCGGCTAATAAACTTATCTAACGCATCTAGAAATGCCGCCATCGACATAGCGGTTACGAGTTCTAAATGTACGGCTCGATAGACCGCGCAAGTAAATAAACAGATCCAGGCCTTCTGCCGCCCGCGTAAATATAATGGCCCTGCGAAATCTATTCCTGTTATTTGAAACGCAGCGGCGTCTTTGACTCGATTCAGCGGCAGAGTGGCAGGATTTACTCTCATTGGCTTCGCACCCTGTCTTTTGCAAATAACGCATTTTGAGATTATTTCTCGCACAGTTTTTCTCATACGTAATATCCAATATTTTTCTCTCAATTGACACATCACAGTCTGTACACCAGCATGATTCATACTCTCATGTGTTTCGCGAACTAGCAGTTCCACAACTTTATGTCTACTATCTAATAATATTGGACACAAAAAGGAGAAATTATCATTTCGCTGTATTATTTTCGTTTTTAATCATAATAACCCATCAGTATGCTTGAACACTTTAATCGCTGACAATTTCGGATCGTTTTTCGGTAAAAACATATCGTGTTGCAAACATTTTAATAATTTTATTTCTGTTTCATGAATCTCTTTGTAAGTCAAATATTTGGTTCTTACATCTTTCTTTATCAACAAATTCTTGAATCTAATCATAATACATAGAAATCTTAGGTATTTACTATATGAGGAGAACCTGTTTACCAAGTTCACATCTACACATTTCACATAAAGCATCGTGAGCTCAGCTGACTTCTTGAGCTCGCTATTTACCTCACTTTCGTCAACGACACCTTTCGCACATGGCCAGGTGTCCCGACTCCCGTACAACCAATCCGGTCCCTCCCACCAGCGCGAATCGTACAATTAATTGTTTTGCTTGGCAGCCGCGCGACGTTAGATCGGCTGGATTTTGAGGACCGGGTACATATTGCCAAGTCCACGACTTTGACAAACGTCTAATTTCGCGTACGCGATTCCACACAAATACGCCCCATTGACTATGACGATTTATCCATGTTAATACAGTAGTCGAATCGGACCAACAAAAAACGGGCGGGTATATCTTTACAACTAATGGCCTGTAGAACATCTTCATTTTGTCGACTACCTATGCAAGCGGCTAAAAGTTCAAGACGCGGTATAGTCAAATTATCTGGTGCGATTCGCGCTTTCGCCGCCAAAAAATGCAATTTTACTTCGTTCTCGTTCTCTACACGTAAAAATGTTACCGCAGCGTATGCTGATTGGCTCGCATCACAAAAGGTGTGTAGAGAAAAAACGCCTTCACCGAAACTTCTCGGTAATTCTATTCTATTCAAGTAATGTAGCTGATTATACCACGTAAAAAATTCCTTATGTGATTTCTCATCTATTGGTGAATCTCAATCGTGTCCCGATTTACACAATCTTTTTAATATTAATCTCGGAATTATCATAACCGGTGCTGTGAACCCGATTGGATCAAATATCTTATGTGCAGTCGAAAGAACCTTACGTTTTGTTATCTCGTCACTAATCTCTTTAACCAACACAGTGTTTATCGATATTGTATCGCGAGCTTTATTAACCTTTTAGATACGGCTGAATTCTGCGTGTGGCTATTTTCCTGGACGGCAGGGTCTGACGTGAACAACGTATAATTGATATAACACTGTAAAGTGTGACGGGCAATTCCGTTCTGTGCACGAGAACATTCAAATTAAATATTTGATGATTAAGTCATAATTTTAAAAAAATATATATTACACATACTTTAACTATAACAATCCACTTTAATAACTATTAATATAATTGAGTATGATAGATTTTGAAATATGGTTCAATAAAATAAACCTACATCACAATTTTCACATTCATAACGAGATCTTCGCCTTGTACTATACAATTTCGTAACGGTTTTCTAGAATTTTTAGATTTGCAGTGGGATGGAAAATGTTTCTCGGTTAGTCTAAACGATTGGTCCACGGTATATCTACTGCAGCTAATGTTATTGTTTATATCCCCATATTTTCTTGAAATTTCTTTTAGTAATGTAAGATGAAACGTTCGCATTATTACGTTTTTTGTTTGAAACCTATATAGGCAATACGCATTCCATATTGACATGTCCAGTAGATGGAAAAAAAATTTTTTGTACCACTTGATACTTCTCCGAACTGACTGTACAGTCGATGTAACCCTATCCCGATTGTCGACTGCGCCTATATTAGCAGTATAATCAACAATACACGCTTTTGTTTAGTTTCTCCTGTCCGATTGTCTCTTTTTTTGGTATTTATGAAATCTCCGGAGTGGCAAGTTGATAACATATATACCTCCCGTTTGTCTTGCCACTTGAGAGCGAGCATGTTGGATGACGATCGAAAGGATATTTCGCCACGTTCAAGTTTTTCATTTATGACAGGCATGTGTTGCCTTCGCGGTTTTACCGCACCACAGGCGTTAGTTTTATTCTGATATAAATAATTGAATAAAGTCGGGCTGGTATACCAATTGTCAACGAACAATGTATGCCCCTTTCCTAAATAGGGTTTCAATAACGTGACTGCCACTTCGCCTGATTTTGCCTATCAAACTCTTTAGAAATTTCTAACCAGTCTGTCGTTTCCAAAGGGTACGGTAAAACTTCCTTATAGAGGCTATCCCACAGAACTTGGCATATCTCCGTTATTATATTGGTTGCTGTTGTGAAACCAACAAGATATTGGTATGATATTGAAGTTAAACAATCACCAGTTGCTAAATATCTGATAAAAAATGATTTTATAAGCTTTGTTATCATCATTTTTTGTAAATAATTTATCTTAACAAAATTTTACCTTAAAGTCATTGCCAGTCGTGCTGTTGCCAAGATTGATTCTCTAACAGCATTTTCTTTGGATATGAACAGACTAACTAAGCATAACAATTCTTCAAATTCAATTGCAGACAATCGAAAATAATTTTGAAACTTATCAGAAAATGAAGAAAGTGTGGGAAATACTGCTTCGAAAAATCCATGTTCAGATCATAATTTAAATATCGAATGAATCCAAAAACGTTTTTCAGCATACTTTTTTTTTCTCAACTGTAAATATATCTCATTATATGTGAGAGCTAGTAAGATTCTCCTTCGTTTAATTTTATCAATTTCTGCTTGTCGAATTATTTCGCGGCACTGATAAATCTATCTTTGGTATTTATAATTCGCAGACATTAACAAAACGAAAAACGCTAAAAACGCTATTTTTATTCGTTAATGTCGCTTGACGCTACAGTTTGACGCTCAGATTTGACGCTACTTCTTATCTAGATGGCACTTCAATCGAAATTATATAATGTGGTCAAATTTGACGCTCAAAGCTAGCGTCAAGCGTCAACATGAAATCGCACCTTAAAACATAAGATAAGATAAAATATGACTCATATAAGAAAACAGTTTCAGATGACAGAATTTATATGTATACATGTGGATTTTCCTTATTTCTATCGTGGACGAATATATCGCTTCATCTGATCAGGGCCTACAGTGTCTGTATATGGTATTTGTGTTACCTGAAATCCATCAATGTCCCCGACGATGTACCGGTCCATATCTAACACYTTTTTTACTTCATATGGTCCCTTGTATTTGGGGATTAGTTTTTTGTTTACACCGATGATAATATCTACATTTTTTATTATCACCAAGTCTCAGACATAATACGAGATGGGTCTCTTACGTCTCTTATTATAATAGCGCTCGTTCGACTGCTGCTCCTCCGAAATTCTTTCTGACGCTTTATCTCGAATGGCTACTAGATCTCGGTTTTCCTCATTACGTCGGTTTAACGCTAACCTTATGTTATCGTTTATTTCCCCGAGTTGGTCCACGCCGAATAACAATCTACTGGGGGGTCTTACCCGTTGAACGACAAACCGTGTTATTCAAAGCAAATTCTACCTTATCGATTACACAATTCCATTTTTCTGTAGACTCGCACAATTTCGCTAACATGGGAGTAATAACACGATTAAATCGTTCTACATGACCGTTTGCGCGAAGCGTACCCACCGCAACGAGTACATGGTCGAACATTTCTTTTTCCGAGAATTCTTTAAATAACTCGAAGGTAAACGCCGTTCCTCGATCGCTTATTATGCGTCTTGGCTTACTATATGCAGAGAAGTATGTTTTCAAATGCCTGACGACCTCCTGAGCCGTTGTCGTCTTACACGGATATAATTTTATGAATTTCGTGAACGCATCAACAATGGACAAAAGGTATCGATATCCTTGTTTAGTCTTCTCTAGCGGACCATAGTGGTCAACATGAACCGTACGGAATGGAAGTTTATCCTTTTTTAAAGAATGTAAATATCCTTCGTTTTTGCCGCTAACCGGAGAAAACTCAATACACTTAAGACAATTTCTAATGTATTCCTTTACCTTCTCTGTCATATTCGGAAACCAATATACTTTTGTAATATGCTCAATTACTTTATTAATTCCTACGTGACCCAAATCGTCATGACATGTTCGCATAACGTTACATTCCATTGAAGCCGGTACATAAAATAGAAGTCCTTTCGACTTATCCTTCCGATAGATGAGACCATCGTTCAACTCGTAAAACTTATCTTCGTTTTTTTCTAAGGCTTCTCGGATTTCCCGTATCTTATCGTCGCGCTCCTAAATAATAGATAAAGTTTGTTCGAAAGTATTTCCTTCTATAACTAAAATATTATGACATCGACTTAACGCATTGACGTGTGCCATTTGTTTCCCTGGACGATGCTGTATCTCATAGTCGTAATCTTCCAAAAACAAAGCCCACCGTGAAATTCGAGGGTTCACGTGGCGTTTGCTGAGTGTAAGCCTAAAACTATCRCAATCGGTAATTATTTTGAATTTTATCCCGAACAGATAAGTATGGAAACATTTAATGGTGTAGATAGCTGACAAACATTCGAGTTCAAAACTATGATATTTCGACTCGGCAGAGCTGGTGCGCTTACTGAAAGATGACACGGGTTGGAATTTTCCGTCTTTTTGTTTCTGCAACAGGATAGCACCAAATCCAGCAGTACTTCCATCGCAATGCAATTCCGTCTCAAGAATCGGTGAATAAACCGCCAATATCGGTTGCGACGCCAACAGATTTTTTAACATTTCGAACACTTCTTGTTCCTTAGAACCAAAATGATAATTCTTATCAGATTTTATCATATCGTATAATGGTTTTGCCTTTATCGAAAACGCCGGTATAAACCGCCGGAAATAACTGGCCAGACAGACGAACCTGTGTAACTCTTTTACATTACGCGGCACAGGATAATTCACTACAGACTTCACGTTTTCGTCGCTCGGCCGAATACCATCCTCATTCACCTGATATCCC